TTATAAATAAATATTTTTAAGTTGGGCCCTCATCCATAATTATTTTCAAATTTGGGCCCCGATGTGTAATTTCCCCTAAAAAAAAAATAACTAAACTTAAATGATTACAAGAGACAAAAGCATGAGTACTATATACAAAACTACACCATTTAGCGTAAAAACGGTTTGTAAATTCATTAGAGCTTATATCCAACATAAACTCGGGGTATACTTCGTCCAGGTAGCCCTTCAAAGCTTCCTTGAGAGTACTTTGGGAGAGATATATTTGGCATAAGAAGAGGCGCTTTACCACATTCATATATACATTCTAACAAATATATTTTAAAAAATAATCATCTTACTGCTTATAGTTAAGCAAAAACACTTAGAACTTATATCTAGCATTTAAGGTGAAAGGTCATTTTCCTTTTCTCTCCTTTGGTGCTTTACTTCGGCCTTGATTTCTCTCACATCATCTTGGATTCCTTTGACTAGTAAATACAAGTACCAGTTTTGAACATAAAGTGGCTCAATTTCAGAATGCTCATCTTGGCAGCCTTTGTTTTTCTTGCGGAGACGTTCTTCAACAAAAAAAAGAAAAAAAACTTTCAAAAAAAAAAAAAAAAATTATAAGATAGATATCGATATTCAAAGTAAAAAAAAAAAAAAAAAAACACTATATATAGATTTACTATCTTGATTGCATAACTGATTCTAATTTGTTGATTGTCTTTCCTATAATCTACCTCTTAATTCGAAATCAGGGTTATGCTGTGGTGATAAGGACCGATCTTGATCATTAAATTGGCTGGAATGTTGAGATAAGTTAGATTGTTAATCATTAGATTGGCTGGAATGTTGAGGTAAGTTAGATTGTTGAGGTAAGTTAAATTGTTGAGGTTGGTTAGATTGTTGAGGTTAGTTAGATTGTTGAGGTTGGTGGGATTGTTGAGTTTTGTGGGATTGTTGAGTTTGGAGAGATTGTGAAATTTGACGAGATTGTGAAGTTTGGCAGAATTGTGAAGGTTGTTTTGAGGTTTGATATGATGCATGTCGAGTTTTTATCTTAGCAAAGATATTATGAACATTTATAATACTTTTTGATGAATCAGATGAATCATCATCATCATCATAAGTATTATTATAAGTAACCAATGAAGAATGGCAATTATGAGAATTATAAGTAAACGATTGAGAATGAGATATATGAGGAGTAACAGATGAAGAATGAGTTGAATAGTGGTTATGAGGATTATGAATGACCGATTGAGAATAGTATATATGAGAAGGACAATGAGTTTTAGAAAAGTTGTTATAGTTAGCAATTGTATCAAAGGTAATTGGTTGAGAGAGAGATGTAGTTGTTATAGGGGTATAGAGAGAAGGTGCAGGTAAGTTTGAGTCATTTGAGTTAGTAGAGTTGTTTGACATTTTAATTCAAAAATTTCAAAAATGTATTTAATATATTACCTTTAATCGTTAAAAATCTGTTGTATTTATATTTGTATATTTAAAAACTTCGCAAATATATAATTTAATAAATTTAATGATGATAATCATTATTTAAAGAATAAAATATGAAAATAAAAACTTATCTCATTCTTTCGGTTTGTCATCATACTTATAGACTATTTCTGAGATTTATAGATTTTGTCATTATCAAACCAATATTACATCAATATAATTATAATTTAATGTTACTCATTATATCACGCATAATACACGAATACATACTAGTTTTTGTACATGTTATTGTCTCATGAAAATGTGCAATACACGAAATTACTTAAAGTGATTAAATTCAATTTATATAAATTTTATTGATATAAATCAATTTATATAGATTTTATTAAATAAATCGATTTATATAAATTTTATTTTATAAATCGATTTAAAAAAAATACTCACGTTATATTCTTCAGACCTTTTTTATTTGATCCTTATAATCAATATATATTTTAATTGCACTCTTTCGATCTATCTTTTTTTTTCCCTCTTATTTTCTTTCTCTTGTTATCTTTTTTTTTGCTTTAAAATGAATTGGCCATGTGATCATTGCAATCGTTCGTTTACAAGGTCTCAAGCCTTAATACAACGTTATTTACAAAAGCATCCTAATATTCAAAACTATACAAATCCAGAGCTCTCAGATGAACAAGTGGATGAAAACATTTGGAATTATCTAAAATATAGTTCTGATTATAATTCTTTAGAATATGAGACAAATGATTAATATTTTTCAAATTAAATCTGATATAGCTAATATATTGCATTTGACACTTGGGCATAATAAATCATCAGACGTGACAAATGAGAATTAGCTAATAATATTAGCTAATTCTTGTTTGTCATGTCTGATGATTCATTACGCCCAAGTGTCAAATGCAATGTATCAGCTATATCAGACTTAATTTCTTTTTTATATAGTAATAAACATTAAAGAATGATTATATTTCATTTAGAGCAAAAATATATCAATACCACCCTGTTCTGAAAGTTCTGATAAGCATATACATTTTTTGATAGAAATAGAACTTCTTCAAATGGATACTACACCTCTTTTAGTAGAAAACATTGTATCTTAAATTAGGCCTGATGAAAGTGATATTGAAGACCATGGTGATGTATCATCTGATACTTTTTATAATTTGGATACAGTGCCTGATCTTGAAGACTACCAGGGGGCTTCGTTTGAAAATACTTTTGATGACTTAGATCATTTTCAAAATATCAAATAGCCTAACGATGTCTATCGTGAGTTTATGGTAATAGTTAGTAAATATCACTTGTCAAATTTGGCTAGAGATTCTATTATAAGCTTCTTCAACAAGTTTTCCAATTTGAATACTTCGCCACTTCCTTTATTAACAAAGGCCAGAAAGGAATTTCTCGATGATTCTACTATTCCTTATATGATATTTAAGGAAATTCCTATAACAACATTTCAAAACGTTGAATATAAGTTTTACTATTGATCATTAATAAAGACTATAAAGTCTTTATTAATGATTGATAGTATTAATCAGTTACTGGTCCTTAAGTATGAAGATAAAAAAGAAATAAGGAATAATGTAGAATATAGAATATTCGGGAAACAGTACAATGGTAATTGGTGGAGGCGAGAAGAATTAGCACTACTTCTTAGGCAACATGTATTGTCACTTATTCTTTATTCCGATGCGACAACTCTGGACCATATGGGAAAATCTTCCGGGCATCCCTTGTTTTTATCGCTTGGAAACATCCCCAACCATCAAAGAAATAAACCAGAATCCAAGGCATTAATCAGATATCTTCCAATATTGAAGACCAAGGCTATTAAAACAAAAACTCAGAAGGTTTCTGAAAGTTGCAAAGAGAAGTATTCCATAAGTATATGATAATTTTTCTCAAGCCCATTGCAGAATTACCAGAATTTAATTTTGGTATATGTGGAAACATGATTATCTTTATTCCCCGAATTTTAATAATTATTGCCGACATGGCTAAAGCTGATAAGTTTGCTAACGTTTATCAACCATCATCCTTGAGTCGACTATGTGGAAAATGCTTGGTATCAAAAAATGACTTAAATAAAACTAAATTAATGGGTATAATTCCAAGAACTCCCAATACTATGAGACAAGCAATAAGTAGTGGAGAAAAACATGATTATTTACTTTATCCTGAAATAAATGTATTTTGGAAGATTGGGTATGTGATTTTAAGAAAAGGGATGAATTTGAAAAAAAATAATATTCATAAAATTAATTATAATTAATTTTATGAATATTATTTTTTTTCAAATTCATCCCTTTTCTTAAAATCACATACCCAATCTTCCAAAATACATTTATTTCAGGATAAAGTAAATAATCATGTTTTTCTCCACTACTTATTGCTTGTCTCATAGTATTGGGAGTTCTTGGAATTATACCCATTAATTTAGTTTTATTTAAGTCATTTTTTGATACCAAGCATTTTCCACATAGTCGACTCAAGGATGATGGTTGATAAACGTTAGCAAACTTATCAGCTTTAGCCATGTCGGCAATAATTATTAAAATTCGGGGAATAAAGATAATCATGTTTCCACATATACCAAAATTAAATTCTGGTAATTCTGCAATGGGCTTGAGAAAAATTATCATATACTTATGGAATACTTCTCTTTGCAACTTTCAGAAACCTTCTGAGTTTTTGTTTTAATAGCCTTGGTCTTCAATATTGGAAGATATCTGATTAATGCCTTGGATTCTGGTTTATTTCTTTGATGGTTGGGGATGTTTCCAAGCGATAAAAACAAGGGATGCCCGGAAGATTTTCCCATATGGTCCAGAGTTGTCGCATCGGAATAAAGAATAAGTGACAATACATGTTGCCTAAGAAGTAGTGCTAATTCTTCTCGCCTCCACCAATTACCATTGTACTGTTTCCCGAATATTCTATATTCTACATTATTCCTTATTTCTTTTTTATCTTCATACTTAAGGACCAGTAACTGATTAATACTATCAATCATTAATAAAGACTTTATAGTCTTTATTAATGATCAATAGTAAAACTTATATTCAACGTTTTGAAATGTTGTTATAGGAATTTCCTTAAATATCATATAAGGAATAGTAGAATCATCGAGAAATTCCTTTCTGGCCTTTGTTAATAAAGGAAGTGGCGAAGTATTCAAATTGGAAAACTTGTTGAAGAAGCTTATAATAGAATCTCTAGCCAAATTTGACAAGTGATATTTACTAACTATTACCATAAACTCACGATAGACATCGTTAGGCTATTTGATATTTTGAAAATGATCTAAGTCATCAAAAGTATTTTCAAACGAAGCCCCCTGGTAGTCTTCAAGATCAGGCACTGTATCCAAATTATAAAAAGTATCAGATGATACATCACCATGGTCTTCAATATCACTTTCATCAGGCCTAATTTAAGATACAATGTTTTCTACTAAAAGAGGTGTAGTATCCATTTGAAGAAGTTCTATTTCTATCAAAAAATGTATATGCTTATCAGAACTTTCAGAACAGGGTGGTATTGATATATTTTTGCTCTAAATGAAATATAATCATTCTTTAATGTTTATTACTATATAAAAAAGAAATTAAGTCTGATATAGCTGATACATTGCATTTGACACTTGGGCGTAATGAATCATCAGACATGACAAACAAGAATTAGCTAATATTATTAGCTAATTCTCATTTGTCACGTCTGATGATTTATTATGCCCAAGTGTCAAATGCAATATATTAGCTATATCAGATTTAATTTGAAAAATATTAATCATTTGTCTCATATTCTAAAGAATTATAATCAGAACTATATTTTAGATAATTCCAAATGTTTTCATCCACTTGTTCATCTGAGAGCTCTGGATTTGTATAGTTTTGAATATTAGGATGCTTTTGTAAATAACGTTGTATTAAGGCTTGAGACCTTGTAAACGAACGATTGCAATGATCACATGGCCAATTCATTTTAAAGCAAAAAAAAAGATAACAAGAGAAAGAAAATAAGAGGGAAAAAAAAAGATAGATCGAAAGAGTGCAATTAAAATATATATTGATTATAAGGATCAAATAAAAAAGGTCTGAAGAATATAACGTGAGTATTTTTTTTAAATCGATTTATAAAATAAAATTTATATAAATCGATTTATTTAATAAAATCTATATAAATTGATTTATATCAATAAAATTTATATAAATTGAATTTAATCACTTTAAGTAATTTCGTGTATTGCACATTTTCATGAGACAATAACATGTACAAAAACTAGTATGTATTCGTGTATTATGCGTGATATAATGAGTAACATTAAATTATAATTATATTGATGTAATATTGGTTTGATAATGACAAAATCTATAAATCTCAGAAATAGTCTATAAGTATGATGACAAACCGAAAGAATGAGATAAGTTTTTATTTTCATATTTTATTCTTTAAATAATGATTATCATCATTAAATTTATTAAATTATATATTTGCGAAGTTTTTAAATATACAAATATAAATACAACAGATTTTTAACGATTAAAGGTAATATATTAAATACATTTTTGAAATTTTTGAATTAAAATGTCAAACAACTCTACTAACTCAAATGACTCAAACTTACCTGCACCTTCTCTCTATACCCCTATAACAACTACATCTCTCTCTCAACCAATTACCTTTGATACAATTGCTAACTATAACAACTTTTCTAAAACTCATTGTCCTTCTCATATATACTATTCTCAATCGGTCATTCATAATCCTCATAACCACTATTCAACTCATTCTTCATCTGTTACTCCTCATATATCTCATTCTCAATCGTTTACTTATAATTCTCATAATTGCCATTCTTCATTGGTTACTTATAATAATACTTATGATGATGATGATGATTCATCTGATTCATCAAAAAGTATTATAAATGTTCATAATAT